GTTATATCCCACCTACAAAGGTACTTTTGTGAACAAAAGTTATAGTTATTGAGGATAAAGACAAAAATAAGGGACATCATATTGCTCCATGATGTTAACATCACTCCTTGGCTTACCTTGCATTATTTCTATTATTGATATCATACAGTTATTTTTTCTTAAATATTTTATTTTATTTAGTCTTTTCCTGACCTTATCCTTTGCTTATTATTCCTTGGCAGTGATGACATATTTTTCCCTTCAAATTCTTTTTATATTAACAATGTCAACTGTTTATAATAATGTGGCTAATATTGCTCCTAGCTTGTGCCTTTCGTCCTTAATTTTTACTTGTATGTTGTTTAATCATTATTTGAGATATTTTTCCTTTAATCTTGTTTGCAAACTGATGTGTTTAAAATTATGGCATTTTAAACATGTGTCACCAGGCAGACAGATTTTGGAAACTGATAAATTATTGTAAAATGATTTGTTATTACAGCATTAAAAAAATCTATATTTTTAAAGCACAAATACAAAAATACTAACACCCTGTAATAACCCTTTATAAGTACAATGGGAATTATTTAATGTGTATCAGTGTATACACTTCACAACTGTTCATCCTATATCTCAACCAAACCCCAAAATCTTGTATCAGTCTGTGGTACCAAAGCCATTATAATGTGGAAATACAAGAATCAATTAGATCAAGCTTCCAAAATTACAGGCAATATTGCATTTGAGAGAGAATATATTTAGAGACATTTTAGACATGTTGACTTCAGTCATATAAAAGTTTAGCTTTATTATAGGCACTTTACTGCAAACATAAAATATCTTTTGTTATTTCTATAGTCTTTTAGCAAGGCAGTCAGTTACTGTCCAAATAAGAAAATATAAACAAAAATTACAATTTATTAACAAATTCTACCTTGAATTCTTCTTTAACTTTTATAATCCAACTAGAAAACATTGTTTCACTCCATTTAGTGATGTTTCTTTCTGTTCCTTAAAGAATAATGTCTCTGAAGATGCTGAAATTGGTGGAATGATCTTCAATTGTGGCAGGAAATGTTAAATTGGTAACTCACATTTTCATTTTGATCAAATGCCATATTTTTATTCAAATATGAAGTATTTATCAGCTCACATGGTCACAATTCACTAGCGCTTGACTCCAGACTGAACACTGACCATGGAATAATAGATGCCTTTCTGGGCCAGCAGCTGCTGGTGTGTGCCCTGCTCCTTGACTTTGCCATTCTGGAACACCACTATCACATCTGCGTTCTGGATGGTGGACAGGCGGTGAGCAATGACGATGCAGGTGCGGCCTTCTCTGGCTTTGTCCAGAGCTTCTTGGACAATCTGTTCAATAACGACAAATTAATTCTGGCAAAAATAGTTCTCTCCTTTTAATTGCTCTTCAAAATAAGCCTTAAAATTAATTTCTCCACATTAATTCCTTTACTATGTTGTCAGTGGAATGTAACACAGACTTCACAAAGCAAGGGATTTGTCACATTAGCACAACATGGCTTAGGTCACTGGGGCAGGAGTTAATCCATCCCATAGTAATTACTTCACCTCACTAACGTGAGTTAAATGTTAAGTACAAATCACTCAGGTGAAGTGGGTCCTCAGACAGAAACAGAACTTAGGATATTTTGCCTTCTTTCTTCTTATCTAGATACTCGAGGAAAGATGTTCACGTTTGCACTGGGTACGTCAGAGATCAGTCATCAAGAACATTTGTCAGAGGCAAAGTATATTTAATAATTTAAAAACATTTACTGGTGTGCTAGCCACAGAACATCCTTCAAAAAAGCCTTCTAATTTAGCTCTGCAGCAAGTTCACAAGGCCTCACATAAATTGAAAACAGCATCCTCAAATTCTGGTATTTTTAAAATAGGAATTAGTTTCTCTTTCCTGTACCTGAATATTCAGTTTTTTTTTCCAAGTTGAAAATGATTATTAACATTTATCTTACAGTACTGACAGAGTTTCACATTGCATTGCTGTCCACCATTTTCATACAGCACTTGAGGAAAAGTTGCCCCTAGAATGGGAAATTTGGCTCCAGAACGAACATTTTTTAGGCCAAAACAAACTGATTCTATGCGCTATAATTCTAATTTGCATTTTCATCTTAATTCTATTGAATAACCGCTACAGGAAGTGTTTAACTTCCACTGAAAGCTGAAACAAGTAACAACATATCAGTCTAATTTTTTTCTCTCTGTGGAAGAGTGAGGCATAAATGTAAATCTTTTAAGAACAACTGACTCAGCTATCAATGAGTCCAATTTAAATTCTTACCTTCTCACTTTCTGTATCCAGAGCTGATGTAGCTTCATCCAAAAGCAAAATATGAGGCCTTCGAACAAGTGCTCGAGCTATGGCGATGCGCTGTTTCTGACCTCCAGAGAGCTGAGTGCCTTTGTCTCCTACTCTGGTGTTATATTTCTGTAAACAGGGTTTTGTTATTGTGAAAAGTGCAATAATTATGTTGTTAACACTTCCACACACAAAAAAAAGTTTAGGCTCAGAAGCTTGTGGGCTTACAGAGGTATAAAAGACAAGATTGCTCACAAAGCAGGTTTGATCTCTTCTTGAAAACAGACATTTGAAAGTTATGTGTGTGAACAAATCAACATCTTTATGAGGAAGAACATTACAATGTTATTCTATTTCAGTGTCCTGTTTTTATCATTTTCAGGACAAAGCTTGGTCAGAGAAAGTAAATTTGCTTTGAACAGGCTCTGATAAAGTAAGTGAAGCTCATTTTATTTATAACCAACAGGTGGCAGCCTCTGCATTCTTTAAAAGTGAGAGAGTGATGAAATTTGTGGATGATAGCCTTTTAGTGCCTGTTTTTATAAAATTATCCCCAACATGTAAACTTGAATAGGTCATAAACAATTTTATTTTGATATCTAACTGTACAAGCTGAAATTTCTTAATTTCTTTGTTTTTAGGGTTCTTCTAAAATTCACATACTGTTTTCCACAACAGATCATTGTTACCATTCAATATGATGATGGCAGTTGCAAAGGCCATGTAGGGGAGTAGAAAACAAGATGTATCCTAGAATACAATGCTATGTTACCATTTTCAGGCCCCTGTCAGAATGAAATTTTAGTCAAACCCAGGTATCTGATTCTGATATTAAGCATGCATGTTCTAGATAGGGTTGCTGGTTTTTATTTCCTATACCTGGCACCTCACATTCTATGGCACTGAGACTGACGTCTCCAACTGCAGATAAAGTGAGAATCACAGGTGAAGGTCCAGGAGGTGCCTGGACCTGGATCCATCTCATAGCTGCAGCTGCCTTAGAAGGGAGGAACACAGAAGTATGTCCTGAGTGAGTATAGGTTTACCAGGTTGTACTGATACAGTATTCATCTTGTTGATCCAACAATACTCCTGAAGCCAAGGGGGTAACTCAACCATTCTCCTGCAAGGTTAGTAAATCCTAGTATAAATCACTCAGAAGTGGGTCTGTAGACAGAAAGAAACTTCAGTGATTTTGCTTTCTCTTTGTCTAGACAACTGGGGAAAGATGTCTACAGATATGCTGGGTATGAGATATCAGAAGCCCAGAAAGCTTGGGCCCTTGTGATACACAAATGCCAGGGACAAGGTCTATTTAATAAACTAGGTAATAGTTACCCTCTGCATATGTCTTTGCTAATCCCTTGCCAATGGTTCTCAAATGCTGTGTTAGTATTGCCTGGCTATTCAAACACAGAATGCTAGGCTCTACCTCTAAATTTAATTTCTCGTCTGGGACAGAGCCTAAGCCTGAAAATTTACATTTCTTCCATTTTAACTGTTAATTTGATGGGCTGGTCCATGTCCATACTTTAAGAACCACTGGCCTTGTCACTCTTAAAGGGGGTTTAATAGTGAATGAGATAGGAAGTGTGGCCAGATGCTTGTATACAGGTGTTTTTATGTTTGGTTGCTTGCTTCTCTTCACCTCTGAGAAAACAGCTCTTCAGGAGTAAAACTATAGATTAGATAGGCTGCACAGGTTTCTGGGCTCTGGAGAGACTTACATTCGGGAGTGTCTCGATGAAAGGGTGTATGTTTGCCTCCCTGGCTGCCTGTTCAATCTCTTCCTGTGACACCACCCGGCTGTTGTCTCCATAGGCGATGTTCTCAGCAATGCTGCAGTCAAACAGGATGGGCTCCTGGGACACAATGCCCAGCTGTGCCCGGAGCCACTGGACATTCAGGTCTTTGGTTTCTTTACCATCAATGAGCTAAAAACAAAAGTTCACAGATCACCTTCAGTATAGCACACTTTATATTTAGAAAATTTAATATTGTTATTTCATACTTTAAAGTTGCCAAGCTACTCAACTACTAAATTTTTTTTTAATTTGAATTTTCAAGTTCAGTTGAACAAGGTCATAACTGTATAATTCAAGAAATGTGTCATGTTTCCTTTGTCTTAACCCTGGTTCTTGGTATATAAATGTGACAGATAGAATAATGTCCACCCACCCAAGATACACCTGTGGAACCGGTGAGTATGTGATGTTGCATGGCAAGGGGGAATTAAAGTAGCAGCTAGAAATTAAGGCTGTCAGTCAACTGACCTCAAAATTAAGCTTATCCTGGATTTTCCCAGGTGCACCCCATGCAACCATAAGCATCCTTAACTATGGGAGAGGGGGGAGGGAGAGGAAGGTGCGGAGTGGTATGTAGTGAAAAAGACTGACATTAAGAAGGGAGGAGGCAAGAAAAGGGATGGTCTACCTGAGCCTCCAGAAAGAACACAGCCCTGCTGACACCTTGATTTTGTCTGGTGAAATTCACTTTGGACATGTGACCTCCAGAACTTAACAAGTTGATATTTAAGTTGTTTTAAGTCACCAAATTTTGGCAATTGGTTACAGTACTCACATGAAATTCATATAATACATTGTATTTCTAGGATGTCTCCTGACATCCTAATACGGATATATCATTTTTTCACAGAAAGAATAGTCAAGGTTAGAAAGAAAATAAATAACTACTATGACCACATAACAGCTTGTCACTCAGGTTTTGGCTCTGAGTTAGGATCAAGTTTTCAGGAGTGAACCATAGCAGTTAAAGGAGTAGAAATGAGGGTGGGAGAGTGACTGCTTTCTCTCTAAGTAGTTGATTTTGGACAAGTGAGTTACTTTCTCTTCATTTCTTGAGGGCAAAACAGGACTGATAATTCCTAAATTCTTAGAATTAAGGATTAAATGGCATCAGGAGAGGATGATGCCACTTAGCACAGTGTTGGGCACAAATGCTCACAGACAGCAACTGGTAACTGTCTTATGTACCTGGCACTACCAGGGATATCAGCTAGATGGCTGGGTGGGTGAGAGGATGCATGTTGTCTATCGTGCTGGGCCAAAGGTAAAGGAGATTGTTTTTCTCTAGTCACCTGGACTATCCTGCAGAAAACTGGGGAGTATTCCTTGTTGATAAAAATCCTTACTCTCTGAAGCAGGTGGATTAATCTACCACAAAAATCTACTTCGCAAGAGAATTCTGGCATTTGAGTGGGGGAGCCGTTCACCCACTCTGAAGAAGACATCTGTGACTGAGCTTTGAGCTTTTCTACTAGTGGTGTTAAGCACATACTGAGTCATGTGTACACTCTGTATTCCGTGCGCCTGAATGGGCATCTCAGGAGCCAACTGCCCAGGGGTAGGGCATAATCTTTGCTGTAGGAAGACAGTTTCTGTTTGCGGAGCCAGCCATGCAAGGATGGAAAGTATAGTCTTGACCTTATTAGTATCAAGCCCAGTTGCTATGGAGACTCTTCTAAGCATCTATACTGCAGGCTCCCTGACAGTGTGAAGTGAAGGTGAAAAACAGAGGCAGGCAGGGGAAAAAAGCATGCAAGATTGTGGCAAAATAGTAGCTCTTGTTACATAGAATGCAGAATTTGAGAAACGGAAATTTGAGAAAAGAAGGAACATTCTCCCCCCCCCCTCAGGTTTATAACACTAAGAGGAAAATAGATACAGCCTAACATAATCAGACACATTTGAATGATTCCTGCAAGTTTTAATGAATTTCTCCTTCACACTGAATACACTAGCTCTTAGGCCTTCTCATCCCATATAATACACTGGAATTGTAAACTGTTAAAATTTGTGCTGGCCGAAGACTCCTTTTTGTAGAAAAACTTGTTTAGAAGCCCAAATATAAAACAGATCAAAGCAGAGTATCTTTGCTGAGGCAAGAATGGTCAGAAGGAGGTTCAAGGTACTCTGGGGAATCAATGAAAACTGTTCAAAAGATAGTGGCCTAGATAAAGACATGAGCTGGGAAATAAACACATTGTTAATAATAATGTACAGCCAAATTAAAATGATAGCTACCTCTAATATAGATTATTAAATCTACTGCTTGCTTTCATTAGTACAAACTGCCAAGTATTGAATAAATATACTAGAAGCACTTTAAAATGACAACTATACAAAAAAAAAACAGCACTTTGACCATGTTGTAGGTCATGGATGTTCTTGTTTACGCTTTATGACACCCCTTATGAGATAGGTGTGGTGTTAATTCCCATTTTTTTAAAGGCATTGTCTGATGATATTTATTTTAAATTCATGAGGTATAAGTTCATACCTCTCCAGATGTAATATCTATCTTATAGCTAAGGAAATAAATACAATAAGTCATTTCTGCAAGATTACACACTAATAGAAAGTGGTGAGGACTGGACCTACACATTGTAGGCTGAGTTTTTTTTTTTTTTTTTTTTTTTAAGCAAAACTTCGTAAACTATGTAAGGTCACACAGGTTGTATTATTTTTTCTTTTTTTTAAAGATTTATTTATTTGTACATAGAGAACTGGGGTACAGGCCAGAGGCTCAGGGGCAGTGAGAGGCTTCACCAGAGACAGAGTGGGTAA